GCGAGATTGATCGTTTTTGCCCACTCTCCAGGCCAGGTTACACCTCTCAAAAACAACACTTTGCAGTTTGTAAAGAGCATTTTTATCTAGCAATGGTTTTTGTCTCTTGCACATTCCTTGTATTTATGACCTCTGGTTCTGACATTGTACGTGGAATGGTGCATGGGATTCAGCAAAGCAATATTAAATTACAACTGAACAAGCCATCGCGTCAAGGAGAAATGATTATATATTTTTTAATCAAAATTTACATCAGGTGGATAATCTCTGCGGCTGAGCTCCGAGACGGAAGAGCAGATGGTTGACTGGCATTTTGCGTTAGGAAGTGTAGTGACAGACGCGGATAGGTGTTGCCATCCGTACTTTATCAGGACGGAGAGTAAATACTAATCAGATGAGTCTCCTCAGCACTATTTTAACTCTTTTTGGCTCCTAAAATATCACGCGTGATTTCATTCAGCTGCCCCAAACACCTAGCTGCAAGTGATATGCGACTTTAAAGTAAAACATTTTAGCACGCGTGAACTTTGTCCATATACGTATGAATAAAGTCAAAGCTGGCAAACCCCAAAAAACGAAATTGACAAAAGCATGGGTCTGAAGTTCACTACAGATTCTGCCAGTTTGTAATGGGGCTTGCAGCACAATGTGACCACAAGCAACATTCCCTCTCGGCACACTGACCATGGAACGGACTTTTGACACCAAATGTAGTGTGGAACTCACACGGAGGCAAGGTAACGTAACACCTGCTCATTTATATAAATAAGTGCACAACTTTATCTATCTGTGATGAATGCTGCACTTCCCACCGTTTTCATGCAGGGGGCGCTGCAAACCTACGCGCCCACTGCATGAACGACGGAGGCGCAGGGACAGACGTTCGATTACGTTGGAATCGATCCGCAGACGGCGGTCTTCTCGCACGGCCAGCAGCTCTATGTCGCCATATCTCGATCCCGCAATCCATAACTGGTGAATTCTGCATCGAACCGAACCCCCAGCAAGGCCATCTACTTAACGACGAGAGAAAATTCACACGAAATGTCCTTTTCAATGAAGTCTTCCAGATTTAAAATGATATAAGCTTTAAATGAAGAAATACAATTATTTAATTAAAAACATAATGCAATTAAAAGATATTTCATTTCTAAACTTCTCAACGAAGCATCGGGTGCTTGCGTGAATGCGTCGTTCGTGTGCAATTTTTTTCGTGACTTTCCTGACCGAAGGCCGTATAAATGGTTGTTCGGGTGCGCCTGTACCCCGAGTTCTTTAACAAAGAACCCCTAGTTCTTGATTAACCTCCACACGCCCCAGTTGTGGGCGCACACGACACTTCACGCTTAACGCCGCGCGTGGTACACCTTGATCCCGACTAGCTACCCCTACTCCTACACCTGCTCAGGACAGGAGATGAACCCCGCGCGTTCCCACACGCCGGATTGTATCCCCCACCACCTGCCCTACAGCCAACCCGCAGCTCACACACAGACGCCTCTCATCAGCTGCACGTGCGGCACTCCATTACCACACGTGCCTCTCATCAGCTGCGCGTGCATTACTACACCACATCTGTATGAGATATATCATGCAGTGTGCATATATTGCATATTGGTCATATAAACATATTACATTTACGCGATGCTGTACGTAATACTTGGGCGTGTGACAGGCCAAACCCGCACATATTTATCATTCAGCCTAGGTCTATCAATTTACTGCAGGTTCAACACAATGACACCGGTTCTTGGTCCAAATCAATTCCTCCCCACCTCAAACGCAAAAGCAAATTCCCGGAGCGTCCGGGCTAAGCCCGGAGAGGTTGCAACTCCTGCTTCCGTGGTGGGCAGCGGAGTAAAATTAATTGGTGGACTGTACGTCTCAGCTCACCACATTCGCCAACCCGCACTGACCAGCGTGGTGAAGTATGGTCAAATAGCCTGCACAAACCACACGGTGTCAGAAGGCCCACATCCAGCAGTGGGTTGACAAACGACCGGTACACGGACGCGTCAATGCGTTTTTTAAATAACACTTTATTTTAATGCAAAGGCACCCACAAGCCTCATTATGAAAATATCAAGCAATCGTTGAGAAACGTGCTAATGATATTTAAACACATACGGTTAATAAGGTCTCAAATGCATGTTTTATGTTTTTCACAAGGCATGCTCATGTACAAATTAGAATTCTCCAGCCTGGCTTGCTTCTTGAGGAAGGCACCTTGTCCCCACGGGCTGTTAGATTAAAGAGGGATTAGCTTACCCATTTTTAATTGCAAGTCTGCACTTTTAATATAAATTCTTGGAAACCTCTTCACGACTCTTATCATATGTAATACATTCTCCACATATGTAACCAAGAGTGTATATAGGCGGATAATGTGCAACCCACCACTCCTCACCTGTATAATAAATCCATCATTACGATGCGAAATCAAATAAAGATTCGGCATGTTCTGGGACCAGAAAAGCTTAAAGGGCTTGTTGGGATTTTTTGTTTGTTTTTCTTTAGTGGGAGAATATTTTTAAAAATTACCCACTAATTGAATTTTGCACGGTAATAGCAAATTCCCCTAGCGACGGAGGCTGCTGCTTGAATTCCCCGGCTGCAGTGCAAAGTGATGAACACGAAGGAATGAACGTTTGGGGAATGTGAGTATCGAACAAAGCGTTTAATTAAATCAGCTTGTGTAACAATATTTGCTTGTTCAATGAGTTGGGTGCTACCAAATACGCACTCATGTAAACTGTTCGTATGTCATTTACCAAAAAAGACCTTGAATATTTTCTCTTGCTTTCTTGAGGTTTCATTTTCCCAGCGCATTTCCAGGGCTTTCAAGGCATCACACTGTGACACTGTGGTCTCCAACTGCAAGTCAGACAATCTATATGCCCACTGTCTGCTCTGAAGAAAGATCATTGCTTGAAATATTAGTACATTATTATTTCCAGTTGCCTATAATCATATTTATTTTTAGAGCACCTTTCATGCCACAAAGTTCAAAGCCACGTCACGTGAGTTAAAATAAAATTAATATTTACAAAGACAAATCTCATTAAAAAGAAACACTCATAAAATAATGTAAAACATACACCAAAAGAAGGAAATGTTAACGAATCAGTAAAAATATCACAAGCATAAAATAATTAGGTTTCGTTACAGAAATACTGTAGGCCTTGAGCCTTGATTTGAAAGCCACTGTGGGCAAAACCTCTTCTATGACCAAGCAGAGTTCCACAGGCGTGGAGTCAAAAACACAAACAGCATCCTCTCCATTGCTCCTGAGCCTTACCCTTGCAATGAAGAGGCTGCCACTATCAGCTGACCTTAAAGCACACTGAGGCTGTTAGGGAGACAATCACCGTGACAAGTAATCTGGTGCCAGTCAATTTAGTGCTTTAACGCTTCCCCGATCTCATCAGATATCGGAGCTTCGACAGGGTTGAGCCTGCATAGTGCTTTGAATGGGTGACCACCATGCACGCCCGGTGTTACAGGCTGCATGCTGGCCAGCAGAAGGTGCAGCAAAAATCTCGTCCTCTACTTGGCTTCCCCACCTTCGCAAAACCCGCACTGATCAGCGGGGTGAACTATGGTGAGAAAGAAAAAAACCCACGACCGGCGTAGCATGGTGAGGCCCTCGTTCAGCAGTGGATAGACAATGTCTGTCCGTGTGTAATGACGACTTGACACACTTCTCTTGAGATGGCACTTTATTGAAGACACGCTCACTTGACATCGGGCGGAGATCCCACCGCAACAGCCCCGAGTCTCCCGCGCATCTCCCTTTTATATGCCAACACGAGGCCACGGCCCCCTTCTCGATCCTTCTCGCTGACTCTGGACGCTCGCTCCACCGGCAGACTCCACCGTCCTCTTCCCTCACCTGACCACGCTCCCTTCTCGATCATTCCCGTAGCCACCGGTCCCGTCGCACTCACAACTGACTCCCCTGTCATTACCTCCCGTGGCCACCAGTCCCTTTGCACTCACAACTGACTCTCCTGTCATTACCTCCCGTGGCCACCAGTCCCTTTGCACTCACAACTGACTCCCCTGTCATTACCTCCCGTAGCCACCAGTCCCTTCGCACTCACAACTGACTCCCCTGTCATTACCTCCCGTGGCCACCAGTCCCTTTGCACTCACAACTGACTCCCCTGTCATTACCTCCCGTGGCCACCAGTCCCTTTGCACTCACAACTGACTCCCCTGTCATTACCTCCCGTAGTCACCAGTCCCTTCGCACTCACAACTGACTCCCCTGTCATTACCTCCCATGACCACTAGTGCACTGGTATTGTCGGCTGACTTCCCTGTCATTACCTCCCGTGGCCACTAGTCCACTCACACCGCATGCAGGCTCTACCGTCACGACACATGCACACGGAGTAACGTTGCACGGCGCTGCTGCTGAGTTTTGAGTTGCTTTTTTGTATTGCCTTGTCAGGACGCGCACAATGCGCGTAGACACTTGTAATCACACCGTGTTAATGTGTACCGTCAAATGTGGTGTGAAACAACACACCGTGGAATTTACACGTTGGCAATTTGCATAACGTGTCGTGAGTGGGTTGTTTTTAAATATTGTGCTGAAATGTATTGCCAGAGGAACGCTTTAGGCTCAATTTTAAATACGTTGTTTAATTCAATGTGAGGATGTTATGTTTAAACATCCCATGTTAATTACATCTGGAATGCGAGTGGCCACTATCACGCCGAGATGCCTTTGTCACCCTGGTAGTGATGTTTACACACCGCACCAGATACTATACTAATTTGAGGCTGAGTCGACCAAGGGGAGACCGAAGACTGGTTCAGATAATCGTCACTGGTGTTGGCCGTGAGCGGGAAATCGTACTGGGATCGCTGGGTTCGTAGCGCAGCGCGCTCACCGCTGCACACGCACAATCAAACCTTAATAAGTGCCTCTCGAGCTTGAGTTAGCAAATAACACAACCGTCAAGGGTATTGTTTCATATAATCTTTATTTAACATATAGAGAACGGAGCAAATGCATTCTATTGCTATGAATTCCACTATACACGGGCTTGAGATGGACAATACCTGTGTATTTTAAAGCTGTGATTTATATTCAAAATATAATTTAGTGCACAAGAAAAGAACGACTTTACATGTATCCGCAGCGAGTCTCGCATGAAGTACTCGCCTCTTGTATTCTGCAGCGGCCCCTTTGTCTCAAGCACTTGACCCGTAGCAAGCTCCACTCGAATTCCGCGAGAAAACTAAAAGAAACCTCACTCTCATCGCTTGTTTCTTCCGTAGTTTTTGTCGACTTTTTTTTTGTTCTATCGAGCACGATCGTATTCATGCAACTTCCCAAGTACAGATTCCCCCCCCCCCCCCCCCCCCAAATCATTTTGCAAACATCCACTGCCTCCAGCCAAGACGCGGTGCTGTCTCGCACTTCCAAACAGAAACGGGTTTTTTTTTTGCAATTCCAGCTCCAATAGAGGCATCCCCCCCCACCACCACCACCCCCTGCGCGTACAGAACGGGGACAATTACACAAGGAAGCACGCGAGCGAGCGAGCGGGAGTCGAACACCCGAGCCGGTGGAGATTTTTCTTGAGATTCAGTGCGCACGCCAAATTGAGCGCAGCGGAGGTTTAGTGTTCAGGAAGATTTTTAAAACATATATAACAGAAGACGCCAGTTTAAACGGAGGGATAACGGCTCAAAGGGACCCGCCACATTTGTGATGCTCGATAATCATGCGGCCCAGAGGTGAAAGTCAAGAAATTGTATTTTAATTTGTGCGTTAGGATTTCTGCGCTGTAATGTGTTCACCGTTTCAAGTGCAGGGGGGATCCATGTGTCGATTATCTCACTAAAAACAACAAGGGAAAATTTACACTCTTGAGAAAAAACCCATTTTATTTCCCAAAGCCTCGACCACCAATCTCAACAGTGTTGCAGGATTGCATCTTTTTAACGTTCTTCTTTGTAGGACACGCAGCAATTACTTGTTGAGCAAATGGGTCATTCCAAATCAGTGGGGTATCTAGACACGGATCACGCCGAATCGTGCCACATCCATTGGTGGCATTGTCCAAGCGAGACTTCCCAGATAAACAAATGAATGGCATTGCTGTTTTTATTAGTAGTATTATCACTACTATTGCTTGGACGGATATTCATTTCGTTCAAGCTGTACACAGTACAATGTACTGGCTGCCATAATGTGATTTTATGTGCACGAACAATTATTTTGTGCAACGTTTATTTTGGGAGTTTTATAACGTTTTTCCACGGGGTAGGTGGAAAGAGCAATAACGAGTAACTTTCCAGCCTCAATTTAGTCTCTCCGCTGAGTCATGAGAATTGCAACTGCTCACATATTCCAGGATCATCCCCGCCTAGTCTGCCTCTTTTTACACTCTGAATAAATAAATAAATACATCAATATGAATAAGCATATAACCACACGTTTAGTCACATACTGATACAAAATATTACCGATATAACTTTTACACCGTAATAATCAATGTGACATAGAGTATGTGTGTATTCGTATTTTTTTTGTAATATATTCCATCGTTTGAGAAAGGTGAGAGATTTTTTGTGTATCACGTGCATGTGAGAAATGTACTAATGAAAGGCAAATTTCTAACATCCATGTGCCGTAAGAATTTGCCGAATGTAAAGGCGCAACCCTGCAACTGCTGGCCCACGCCACTTCTGCTGGAACAGCCTCCACTGGAGGGACCTCAAGAGAGATACTCCGAGAGAATGTTTTGGCCTACTCTTCCACACTGTAAGAGGTGGGAAAACCAACACTTTACCCCACCACACGCAAACGTCGACTAACTGCGGTGATGCCATGGGTACCGCTGGGTGGACAGTGAGCGGGGTGGATTTCAAAAACGCGTCCCATCATACTCTTTGGTTCTTTCAGGTAAAGTCACGTAGGTAGGTGACTTTACCGAAAGAACCACAGAGTATGGATCCCTGCAGTCACGAAAACTTCAAATCTAGATTGCGTCCCATCATTCCAATCGGCATGCCGGGAGACTGAACCGAACCAGCGGCTTCTGGATTGTAAGTCTTCCGATGTGCTCAGGCGCCAGCATCCCTGAAGCATTGTATCGAATACTTTAAGCGGCATTTAGTGTAGTGTTACTTACATCAGCAGTGCTGGGATTAACTAACCTTGGCTATTGGCCCATGTGTCTGGAAAGTACCCAAATGCCAGGTGAGTTAGGGCTTCAGACTATAAGTTGTGTACGAGTGTGTAAGCCTAAAAAGATGCCAAAATATGAATGGCAAAAAATAAATAATGATGGGATGCAGAATATGCTTAAGCATTATGTAGTGTGCGTTGTGGGTTTATGTACATGCCTGCACGTGTGATGGGTGTGTATAATGCCAACACTTTAAATAAATAAAAAATAATGAGAGTTCTTCAAAAAAATGTTAACACTTATTATGGAAAAAGAACGGATAATACACGGTGACATGATAACAAATGTGATGTTAATAACTTCAAAAAGTCAAAGAGTCTCCACGTGTTCGCCATCATTGTCAACACGCGTGCCTGGAATCTTCTCCAGGTGGTCTCTAGTGCCCGGAGGCACATTTCTTGTGGTAATGTTGCAAATTCTCAGAAGTGTTAACATTTTTTTGAAGCACCCTGTATCGTATCTTTATCTGATAGGTGTGCAGTGGTAATGATCCAGGAATGAAATTGCTCCTGACATCGACTGGTGAGCAATCAGGGCGAGATGAAAACAGTTGTGGATGCTGAGTGTGCATGAATCTTTAACTGGAGGGAAAATGAAAGTTTCTATTCCCATTACAAAATAAAAATTCTATTTTATGAAAATAAGAATGATTATCTACTAAAAAATAAAAACAATCTTTTCAATCAACAAAACAAATGAGTATATTTAGCAGCAAATTGTAGGACTGTCGTTGGTGGACTTTGTGATGAATAAAATAGTAGGCAATTGTAATAGGCAATTACACCAATATAGAACTGCAATAATAACACAACCACCTTTGTGTTATGCATATTCGATTAATGTCACCAACCCTGCCGTTATAGTTGCTGCGCTACAGCCATGCACCGCCATTCCTGCAGCTACCCAAGTCAACAACCCACCTCGCTATACAGTAGATAATTCGGTTCGGCAAGAGAGGCGTAACCACACGTTGATTTCATCGATAAATATGAATATCAGCGCGCTCGTCTTTCTGTCTCTCGGAGTAATTCCAAGCGTGCATCTCTCCATGCTTTTTGTGGTTAAACCATTACGGTTTTTCTTCCATTGTCTTTGTCAATGTCCGTTTCTAATCCAAAGGTCAAACCAAGTGATACATGAATATGTAGTTTAAAAATAAACGTTCCCTTTTAGGCACATTGGTACGTTGCTTTTCATTCTTAACTTCAGTTTTCCAAAAATCTGCTGTCATCTGCCTCTATATTTCAGAATTTTTAACCCGGATCGCCTTCCCACAGCTGCCCTAGGTACACAGCAACCCTGCTGTGTTTTCCAGTTGTACCCCTCCAACGGAGACCTCCAATTGTGCACTAGTTGTACACGACTTCTCTTTACTCATTTATCCTGGGGCCCAACGTTGCAGCCTGCGGTTTGCCGCGTATTTCTGAAAGTGCGGCACAAACGATCACTGGCTTTGTACGTGTTTTTTGCATGGGGATTATCGGTAACGCTAAAATAATTATTTTTAACAACTCTATTACCGACTGTATGAATGTGACAAGGTCATTAGGACCACTGCTGTTGATGTAAACCACACGAGGCCATTACTTCCTTCTGCTGGATCCCACAGCTGACCGATTGACCTCCATACTCTGCTCTTAAAGTCTCATCTGGCATTTACATTTTGGTCACTGACCTCTGGGCGCCCCTCCAATGCCTGCCTGTCTTGGCAACCCTACCACCTCCACCCTGCACACATACTCCACATATTACTTCTTGACCTCTTCCTGATTACATTTGCAAGTTACTCCTGGCCAATTCTAAACTAAACAATATTTTATTTTACCAGGTATGGCCCACTCAGCTGTGAAGCTCTTTTGCAGAAGCGACCTGGCCACAAATGATAGCTCAACGAAGTGACTTATCACGTGGAAATTTATATCAGCCAAATACTCTAAATGCACGCTTCTAAATAGGAAAACCCGAATGACCCGGATAAAAATCCACGTGGCCACAGGGAGAACATGCAAACTCCAAATATGCAGCAGGCGTCAGGGTCGAGATCAAACCCACGACCTCCTGCATACCAGGCGAGGTAGTAAACATCTCACCACCGCGATGCCCACAGTCGCGCCAAACCTCCGAGCCGCTCACCCTATCCTACCACAAAGTTCTGCTCACCCTCCCCCATGCACCTGCACCCCGTGAAGGCCAGAAGCTCCTGCCTACCTTTGCCTATCACAAAGTCCACCAGTGTCAGTGTTGTAGTTCTTTGTGAGAGGACGCGCATGTGCCCTCTCACCCCCCTCCCCCCCCCCATGCAGACACTGGCGCGACACGTCCCCTACACGCCGTAGTGCTTGTTGAGCCGGTGCAGAGCGTCGCTGACCGTGTCCAGCTCGGCCCGCAGCTCCTTCACCATCTCGGCGATCATCCTGGTGTCTTTGAGCACCTCAATGGTCTGCGTGTATGGGTTGTAGCGCACCGTGAAGTTCCGTTTAATGGTCTTGGCGAACTCCCTGTGGGCAGGAGAAGATGCCATCGACACATCAGTGAGTGGTGTACCGCCTACCTTGAACGACACTGTTGCAGGGAACGAAGCAACTTTACACGTAGGTTCCACGGCCAATACTAACGGTCATATTTCATTCTTGGATTGAGGCCATGCGATGATCTGAAGATGCTTTGCACAGTTTCAAGTGAAATGTCGTCGATAATTGATCAATTTCATTGTGATGATTTGTTCTTCAGCTTACCGATGAACTGAAACGATCATAGTTGGCAGAGTAAAAACTTGCCCATGTGACAAATTTAATTTGTTTGGCTGTTTGGTGTAGGTGGGATTCATGAATCACGTTACGTTGTGTTTTAGAATAAAAAGTGAATGACGCATTTCGTGTGCGTATAATTGTTATAGCACAACGCTATCGTGAAGGTGCGATATCTCACAGACAGCTATAGTCGGCCAGCAGGAAGCGGTGTTGCCGTGTAGTTTTACCCAATTAAGTCGTGTACTGGATAATGTTCAAATTTGGACCACGACAACGGCAATGCATGGTGCGCTAGGTTTTAAAAACTCGACGTGGTCTTTAGCATCCGGTGGGAAACAGACAGCAGTATTAATCAGGGCGGCCACTGGGTTTGAACCATGTACCTCGGCAAAAAGTGTCAAACGCCCTATTTCTCGTTATGTATAAATGAACCTTATGGCGGTACCCCGGGGTATGATAGTACCCCGGCTCTCGCATAATGTCCGTGATGCAGTCAATTTTAGTCTGCTGATGGTCGGCGATGCGGCAATCGACTCATCTCGAAGAGCTGTACACGATGAGGCACCACTACGGTGCGTACCGTGCGCGTTCAGGGTTTCAGCGCAATCGTCCTCGCTGCGTTTGGAAATCGCGGAGTAGTACTGATTTCGGATTGATTGGTACCCCAGTCGCGGAGTTAAGTACACCCCTGGAAAAAAATAGTGTCCCAGAAATAACAGATTTAATTGCCTCGGCCATTTTGTATTATTTGGTACCCCAGGGTACCGCCAAAAGGATCAAATATCAGCTGGTGTGGTCAATAGAGACGTTTTTGGCCTCATTAAAGGATTTCAGCAGAAGGACACGATGACATTATTCTGTAATTTCCAATTAGGGAATGTAATACGAAAAAGTAAATGCACCTTAATAGCTTTTAGAGCCTTCATTCAATCGGTATGTCCTAGAGATAATAGAGGGGAGATACTGACTGAAAGAAATTATCATCTCGCCATCATAACATATTTAGAGAATAAATTGAACAGCCATCAACTCTGTATATACGGGGTGAATAATTTATAGGTACCTCACTAAAATAATAAAGATAAATTGTTTGAAAGCCTCTACATGCCTCCGACCAATTTCCAACACATATTCAACATTTACATTTTCTTCCGAGAGACAATTAGTCCAACATTTTGATTTGTTTCATACCATTCAGTTACCGGTTGAAAATGAGAGGGTCATTAGACATCAGTGGGGCATCTATAAATGGGCCACCCTGTACGTTGACTACCCTCCACTTACAGCGCGTTTCACTGCAAGGCCCACGGGCTACTTGGCGGCTCCTGGTGGCCTTAAGTGCGGCCCTGATATGCAGCCCCCGACAATGCACAACGAAGTGAAAACACTCCCATGCAAGCAGTGTGGCGGCCCTCACACTGATGATGTCTTATCGGCGAAAGTGCCCCCCAGCCCCCCCCCCCCCCACTCTGAAAATGATTGAACACAGCTCTATTAGACTGATTTCGATTTAAAGCTTTCGTGACTGCAGGGATTCATCTTCTTGGTTCTTTCGGTAAAGTCACGTAGAAGGGAAGTAAGAAAATAATAAAAATAAACATAAAATAATTCTCACGACGTTTCGGCCACAACGCAAGCAGCCGTCCTCAGGTGAAGACCTGTCTCCCCAACAGACCTGGTCTTCACCTGAGGACGGCTGCTTGCGTTGTGGCCGAAACGTCGTGAGAATTATTTTATGTTTTATTTTTATTATTTTATTACTTCCCTTCTACGTGACTTTACCGAAAGAACCAAGAATATCTACTAGACTGTTAACACATCATCCTCACAATGTCGCGTGGCCCCAGTGGCAAAGATGGCACGCTTCTTCTCACCTCATTTTTTCCTTTGCCTCCTCAAAGCTCTCGGAGACGAAGTAGATGTCCTGGAAGGTGGTGATGAGACACTCCTGCTTGCACGTCACCTTCGGGTCGAAGCCCTTCACCTTTGCATTCTCGGACAGCGCGTGCTGGAAGAAGCACGTGGGTGCGGCTGAGGCCTCGCTTAACGCGCGGTGTTCACACAACGTGACGCTTTTCTCACAACTCCGGAAGTGCCCGTTATAACGCGGAGCGCGCCCGTAATAATTTTGAACGACTTTCTTGAGCTGCACGGCTGAGCGGTACAATATAGTACGCGGAATGATACATTACGTGGAATTATACAGTACGCGGAATGATACAGTACGTGGAATGATACAGTACGTGGAATTATACAGAACGCGGAATGATACAGTACGTGGAATGATACAGAACGCGGAATGATACAGAACGTGGAATGATACAGTACGTGGAATGATACAGAACGCGGAATGATACAGTACGTGGAATGATACAGTACGTGGAATTATACAGAACGCGGAATGATACAGTACGTGGAATTATACAGTACGTGGAATGATACAGTACGTGGAATGATACAGTACGTGGAATTATACAGAACGCGGAATGATACAGTACGTGGAATGATACAGAACGCGGAATGATACAGAACGTGGAATGATACAGTACGTGGAATGATACAGAACGCGGAATGATACAGAACGTGGAATGATACAGAACGCGGAATGATACAGTACGTGGAATTATACAGTACGTGGAATGATACAGTACGTGGAATGATACAGTACGTGGAATGATACAGAACGCGGAATGATACAGAACGTGGAATGATACAGAACGCGGAATGATACAGAACGTGGAATGATACAGTACGTGGAATGATACAGTACGTGGAATGATAACAGTACGTGGAATGATAACAGTACGTGGAATGATAACAGTACGTGGAATGATAACAGTACGTGGAATGATACAGTACGCGGCAGCATACCCTGATCGCATTTCTTTGTCCCGGCAGGCTGAGTTTACAGTACGTGGATTTTCACTGAATGCAGAACTTTTCAGGAACGCATCTACCGCGTTAAACGAGGCATTGCTTTAAAGCGGTGCACCCAGAGAGCACAGCGGGGTGAGCTGTGACGCAAGCCTCACGGAGGAGCGGTCAACGACGAGATTGTGAGAATGATGAGGGCGTTCGGCAAGTGCACAGTTGACCCATTAATCATTGCGTCTTGTACGGCGCATATTCCAGAACAGTGGCGGATGCGGGTGGTTTAGCGCGGCGCCGAAGAAGTTGCGAGCGTACCTTCAGCTCGCTGATGGAGGAGAGCAGGCCAGCCCCGTAGGCTCTCAGCTGGCCATCTTGTTTGCAGAGCCCAAACTCCACAGTGAAGAAGTAACACTGCAGAGCGCGCAGGGAAAGCGAATGTCATGACTCCGACGACAAAGTAACGAGAAGGGCCACTTTTATTTGAAGTGTTACACAATAAGGAATCCTACTAACGACTTTCACAATGAGGGACCCGAGGCTTGGTCCTAGACTTCCTGCTTGTATCTTCCTCCGAGCATCCCCACTCCTCGTGCTCTCCCCTTATACATCCCTCAGCCCCCTTTCTCGAACCTTCTTCTTCCTATTTTACCTCTAGCCAATCCCTGTCCTTTCACGGATCCTTTCTGTTTTCCCGTTCAATCCCCCTATTCACCAATCCCTTAAAAGTCTGCCTGCCGACCAATCGGAGACCATTGTTTATTTTTAGATAGCCATGAGGCTGCACGTGGCTTGGGGTCATCTGTCGGTCATTACAATAACAAATCAATCGCAGCCCTTTTGTCATTCCACTGCTGGATGGAGACCGTCCGACACCCGTGTCAGGTTGGTTGACCGTACTTCAACACTCCCGTCAGTGCGGGTTGGTGAGGGGACGATTCGGATAAGTTCAGATATTGGCTCGCCACTGGAGTTGGCTGTGGACTGGAATCAAACTTAGGTTGCTGGGATCATAGTGTGGTGTGCTAAGCACTGTTGTGCCACAGCACCTCCGTCGAGACAAGCAATCATGAGTTAATGTTACCATCCACAGGAAGGATTTTTTGAAAATTATTTTCTTAAGCATAGATTGAAACAAATTTAGAGGTTAATTTCTGGAAACATAAACCATAAACGAGTGGTCGTTAGAATAGTGAGTGAATGCCAAATGTATCATCACCACCACAACTACAGCCATTGTCATTATCGTGACCACCACTACCACCCAAATCACCACCACCATAATTAAAGCAAATTCACAAACTTCCTCGAAACACACAGCATATAGATTCGTCATAAATTACCCCATTCTTCTGTAATGTGCACCGATGCCTACTTAGTGGACGGCGATATTGACAGGTAATAAAAACGATTGATTTAATATAATGTACATAAAACAAATATGCACGTGCTTCTAGACTTGAAGCTTTCGTGACTGCAAGGAATCATATTCTTAGGTGTTTTCGGTAAAGTCACGTAGGTAAAACATCAAAATTAATAAAAATAATAAAATTAAAATAAAGATCACGACGTTTCGGAGGCAACACAAGTCTCCGTCATCAGGTGGGACAGTCACAGCCAGATCAGCTGCATCAAGTGAGGCAAGGATTCAAGATGTAATCCCTTAAAAGCGAGTTGAGGGGGGGGAGGAGAGGGGGGGGAGGGGCTCATCAGAATGTGGTAGCCAATGAATGGAAAAGTATCGGGAGAGAAGGGCCAACAAAAAGGTGGGCGACGGCGTGGAAGCTATTGTGCGCAAGCGACACACTGCTGCCCACGCCAACGCATTGGGCAGAGAGGGGGGAGGGGGGGGTCTGATACACATGATAGAAAAGAAAAGAAAATGCGTATGTTTATACCAATGCTGGCTAAACAATGAAGAGATTACTGTTAAACACTGGGGAAGTTAACACTCGGTAAAGTAAAGTAAACTAGTGTCTGTCAGATAAGATGGTCAAAAAAGTGTAATTAAGTCTTTTTTGCGTGGTTAATAACATCTTTCCAATGATTACTAAGTTTGTACCCATCCTCACGGTTGAAATTATGTCTGTGTTTGTATATTTGTATGGCTTCGTGTACAAACCTTTGATGGTAGCCAGGAGGTTTGCAGAGAACCTTGGTCTCGGAAAAGACAATTTCATGAGAGCCCACTGAGTTGTAGCAATGATCGGCAACGGCCGAAGAATTAGTTCTGCCGTGTTTCAGATCTGACTTGTGCTCGCGGACACGATCAGCAACATGGCGTTTTGTTTCTCCAATGTAGCAATCACCACAAATGCAACTCAATTTGTAGATTCCAGGATACTGTAAGTCAGGAACAGCATCCTTCACAGATGGAATCAGATCACGGATTTTATGCACTGTAGTGAATCGGACTTGGATCTTATGTTTGTTTAGAATTTTGGAGATCTTTTTGGTCACGCCTGCTATGTATGGTAACGTGATAGTTTTGGTCGGAGTTTCATGTGGCTGCTTCTGTGTGGTGGGAGAGACAGCTTGGCGGATAGTACGGTCACAGTATCCGTTCATCCTGAGGGCCCGATGTACATGTCTTAATTCACCGGTCAGGTGGTGTTGGTCAGAAATGCCATGGGCTCTGTGGTATAGCGTTTTGATGAGAGAATTCTTTTGAGATGGGTGGTGGTGGGAATCCGGTTTCAAGTAGGAATCTGTGTGGGTGGCTTTCCTGTAGACAGAATGTCCCAAGGATACGTCAGGCCTCCTCTCAAACAGAATATCCAAGAATGGTAGTTTACCGTCTTTCTCCAATTCCATGGTGAATCTGATGGATGGGTGTCTAGAATTGATGTGGTCCAAGAAGTGGTTCAGTGCTGGGAGGCCATGTGGCCAGATGACGAAAGTGTCGTCCACATACCTCTTCCACAAGGAAGGACGCAGGGTGGATGTCTGGATGGCGTCTGATTCAAACTTTTCCATGAACATGTTGGCTATAACTGGTGACAAGGGGGAGCCCATAGGGGTACCCTCATTCTGTTTGTAGAAGGTGCCATTCCAGGTAAAATAGGTGTTGGTGAGACAATGCCTAACCAGAGCAGGTACATCAGAATTCAATCCATGTTGGACTAAGTCTTCAATTATTGTTAGGGTGTCCGGTACTGGGACTTTGGTAAACAAAGATACTACATCAAAGCTGACGAGGATGTCATCAGGAGATAGTACCATGTCCTTAACCATAGAGACCAATTGGGTTGAGTTGAGTACTGCCGAAGAGGTCTTGCCTGTGAAGGGGAGCAGAGTATCTGATAGAAAACGGGCTAGTTTGTACGTAGGAGAGTTTATCGTCGACACGATGGGTCGTAGCGGGGTGCCTTCCTTGTGGATTTTGGGAAGACCATAGAGTCTGGGAGGTCTAGCCGCCGATGGTTTTAGAGAGGGACGTTTGCTTGGTTCGATTAGGGAAGTCGAACTCGTGATGATACTGTTGGTTTTCGTCGTTAGGCTTTTAGTAGGATCGTTTTTAATTTTGGAGTAACTCCCATCATTAAGAAGGTCCAGGATTTTGTTGTTGTATGATTCTTTATCCATGATGACCGTGGCATTGCCCTTGTCTGCTGAGAGGATGACTATATCATCTCTCTTTTTTAGGTCCGCGAGTTCAGAGCGTTCGTTTTTGCTGATGTTACTAGTGGGTTTCTTAGCATTCTTAAGAATAGTAGCTATTTCAGCTCTTGCTACATCCGAATGGATGTATCATCACGAGTTCGACTTCCTCGTCACATTCATCGTCGTTCTCGATCATTTTCGTCCGCTCAAAAAAATATAAAACGCTTTGTCGGTGAATACTATATTTGTCTCACTCAATTTCGTCAACAATACTATAGCTTTTTCTTGTTTTTTTCGGTAAAGTCACGAAGAAGGGAAATAATAAAATAAAAAAAAATAAAACATAATAAAATAATTCTCACTACGTTTCGGCCACAACGCAAGCAGCCGTCCTCAGGTGAAGAACAGGTCTGTCGGAAAGACAGCGTCTGACCTGTCTTCACCTGAGGACGGCTGCTTGCGTTGTGGCTGAAACGTCGTGAGAATTATTTTATTATGTTTTTTATTTTTTATTTTATTATTTCCCTTCTACGTGACTTTACCGATGGAACCAAGAAGATGAATCCCTGCAGTCACGAAAGCTTTAAATCGAAAAACACTATAGCTGCCGCTGCTGGTGCCACTGGTGCTGCTGCTGGTGCTGGGCAGTGGAGCATTGACAGCCATTACCGTGGCAAGCTTCTGCACGGCTTCGTCCGAGGCACCGAGCGAGGCGAGGCCGATCTCCTGGGAGAACTGCGCGAAGCTCGGCTCAGCCAGCAGTGGCACGTGGCCCAGCAGCTCGTGGCACGTGTCCCTGGCGAGCGAGACACGCGGCGCCATCGTTGGCATTGAGGAATGCACGAGCGGAGATACACAACGGGTCTACACGTTCGCACATATGAGTATATAGTGTTTATGTGTGTGTGTGTGAGCGTTTGTGTGTAGTGGGGAGCGGTAGTGTAGTGGTTAGCGCGCTGCGCTATGAACCCGGCGACCCGGGTTCAATTCCCGCTCACGGCCAACACCAGTGACGATTATCTGAACCGGTCCCGGGCCTCCCCTAGGTCGACTCAGCCTCAAATGAGTACCTGGTGCAGTGTGTAAACATTGCCACTTGGGAGACAAAGGCGGTCGGGCGTGGTGCTGGCCACCCACCCCCTCGTGTACCATTCCACGGCTTTCATAGGTGCTCGCTAACAGCACTTGCCCCTACAGTCTGTTAAGGCTACATGGGGGATCTTTGTCTTTGTTTGTGTGTGGGGGAGCGTTAATGTGGCGGTTAGCGCGCAACGCAATGAACCCGGCTAGCCGAGGTCAATTCCGGTTCAAGGCCGCAAACATCGATGATGATTATCTGAAACGATATTGGGCCTCCCCTAGGTCGACTCAGCCTCAAATGAGTATCTGGTGTGGTGTGTAAACATTGCCGGCCTTCATAGGTGCTAGCTAACAGTACTTGCCCCAACAGTCTGTTAAGGCTATACGAGGGATCTTTGTCATTGTGTGTAGACGCCCTATTAGGGTTGCCACGTGTCCTGGTATTTCCAGGAATGTCCTTGCTTTTAGTTTCAAATTACTCGCAAAAACATGTGAAAAGCACTCGGCCTTGGTGCATTATGTAAAAATAAACCATCAGCATGTCCTGAACAAGTGCACTGTGGTTCTTATCTCAGGCACCATCAAAATAAATTTGAGTAAATGTGACTGACAGGCACAATTAATCCGACCTGCGCTAAATTATTCTGCCTTCATAGGTTTCTCTCTCTCACCATTGACAGATTTCACCTCTGTTTTTTTTGCGGTAGGAAATCTGAAAGTCTTCCCAGGACATTACTGTTCATGTAGCTCTTCCCTTTTTTCCCTTCTCATTCTTCTTCTGACGACATGTTCCGGTTGTTTTTATTGAACCTCGGGGGGCGACGATCGATGACAACATTCCCGAATCGGACACGAGCATGACTCACGGCTCCGGGGTGTAGAGCGGATCGGAGCTGTGGCGCACGTACTGCGTGCAGTGAAACACGCGGAATGCCAGCCCGGCCAGGAAATCCCGCGGAGACAGATACCCGGCCACCGGCCGGATAGTGAACCCAGAGCGCTCTGTGTTCACACAAAAGAGGAAAAGACAAATATTGCACCGCATAGCCTTAACGGACTCTCAGGACAAGTAAACTATTGAAACAATTTATTTTATTTTTTACCAGGTAAGGCCGACTGAACTGTATACCTCTTTTTCAGAAGTAACCTGGCCACATATGTACAGCTCAATGAACTGGCTTAACATGTGAAAATGTATAGCAGCCAAATAATCTAAACGCATGTTTCTAGAAAAACCAAAGGACCCAAAGAAAAATCTATTGCGACCACGGGGAGAACGTGCAAACTCAAAATATACAGCAGGCGTCAGGGTCGGCATTGAATCCGATGGCCTCCTGCATGCTGTTAGCGAGCACCTATGAAGGCCAGCATGGCACACGAGGGGGTGGGTGGCCAGCACCACGCTCGGCCGCCTTTGTCTCCCTTGTAGCATTGATTAGACACCGCGCCACGTACTCGTTTGAGGCTGAGTCTACCGAGGGGAGGCTCAAAAACCGTTGACATTTCACAAAGTGGCACTCGCTCTATAACCTCAAACAAGATTGACTGAGTCAAACCCCTTAACCGAGACTTCTCACACTCTAACCCCAGCACCAACCTGCCAATTAACTTGCCAATTAAGGAACTGCAAAGGTCACGGACACGCTCGCCGGTAATCGTCAAAGGCAACGGTCGGCAAACGTGGGGGTGGTCACGCCATCAGATGGTTCACGCTGGCTCACTGTGCGGTTTGGAATTCAGACATCCATACCTGTCATCTCCTTATCACTGCCTACCTTATTTCAGACCAATTCAGACCTTATTGGTCACCCCGTGCCCTTATAAATATCAACGTTCGTCCTACAAAGTCCCATCGCAAGGGAAAAACGCAAACAAATACACACAAAAACGTGTTGTCCGTATTGAAACGGCTGTACGCCGTATGGACCTGAAAACTCAATTTCCCTGCACAAGAATACGGGTAAACCGTTTGAGTTGACAGCTATGGACATCTGCGGGAGCTGCCCAGGGAGTAGTCATGTTTGGCTCTCCTGCCAGGGATGAGTGCCCCAGGCATGAAGCTCTCTTGAAGACCTACACATTAATCTGCAAATCCATCTATCGGCACGGCGGCACGAGAACTGTCCGGAAGGCAGGTGAGGCTCCACCGGGGGTTTGGCCACGCCTGCCCGACGCCGTTGCCGGTTGCACGTCGCTCACAGTAAATCCGATTGCCTGCTTTCAATTACTGACCAACAAAAATGACTGGCCACCAATTAAGCGTCGGTGACAAACGGTACGCGTACCCCGCTCGCAGGCCCCGATTTCTCATCTCCTCTAAACCCAGGGGCACTGAGTTCGGGACTTCTGTCCGTAGAGTCTCCGTGCCTCCCTCCCCGACGGTCGCGCGTTTCGCGCCCCTGTTTCGGGCTCGTGTTGAAAATTCAATGAAAACGATTCAAAATCAAAAGAGAAGAGTCGGTGACACGAAAGGAGCTCGCGACGGCCGAACAGCCGCGTACCCTTCAGAAAGCGGGACACGTCCTCCAGCTGCGGGATGTTGTCGTCACGGTAGCCGCAATGCTTCGTGAGCAGCGGCAGGTTCTTGAGGTACTCGCGGCAGGCGTGAGTCGGGTAGAGCTTCGTGAGCTCACGGAACACGGTCGCCCAGGTCCGCACCTCCTCCTCCGTGTACTCGATGCGAGGGATCGGCTCGCCGCTGCAACGACGACAGCGAAAAAAACACACGGCCATTGTGGATTGCGTTTCACGTAAATCTACCACCATCATCATCATCATCACCAACAGATCAGGGATGCTGCCGTGGTTTAAAGAGTTAGCACGCTGGATTTGCAATGCAAAGTTCGCCGGTTTGACCTCTGGGTACAGCAATTGAAACGGTATAAACGGGTTCACCACATTGGTCAATCGGCCGGTAGCTGGTGGTGGGGTTAAAATCTGGGCACTCCCACCAACTTCCAAGAGGTCTGACCAGCATGGAAGAGTAGGTCAAATTCCATCTAGCAGGGCTCTCTAGACCTCTCTCTAGCGGAGGCCCTTCAGCCAACAGTGGCATGAGTGAGTAATTGCAGGGCTGCACCTTTATCTTTAAGAATATGGGTCTCAATTTTGCAACTTCAAAAAATGAGTGTTCAGATGCTTTGAACCGATGATATACATCGCAAGAGGATCTAAGCCCGAAGGAAAAAAATTACTGTGAAATAAATCATGGTGAATGAGTACAGCAGATAATTTGTACGTAAGCAATGATGAAAAACAGTGAGATATGAAAGATCAGTGAAATAATTCCATCTAGATAAGATAAAATCTAAAAATAATAACTGCTTAAAGGGTACACATACACCTCCCAAATGATTACAAGATTACGTTCAAACCCAGGGGCACTTTGACGATGTGACGACGTTGATTATTCAATTTCATTAAATCGGAGGGCACATTCCGAGGGAGATATGATTTCTATAAAGATGGTCAATTTTCAGATGGGATGTTGGGCCAATCATCGACTTGAATATTTTCCGATGGGAGGCGCTCTCTATTATATACAAACAAATAGACGTCCTGCCGTCTCTCCACATTTAAATACATGTCTTAGATTGTCAGTCCTCTTGGCCATCTAGACGTTGTGTGTTTAAGTAAGCAAACGTGTTTTTAAAACAAGCAGTCTTTGAACCGGTTTTGACCTTCCGAGGGTCTCATGAGCAGTCAGGCTGTGTTAAGAGAGACAATTATGTTATTGTCAAGGGCACTCCTTCTTTACAATAGAGCCATGATCAATATTTGTATGGAAAAAAATCAATATTTGTATGAAAACTCATTATGCGCGGTTGTGGATAATTATTGAAAATGAAACAAAGATGGGCTGAAAACAATTGTATCTTGATATTGAGAGACAGAAGAAAGTCTATTTGTTAAAATGACAAATAATGCTGGATTTCTTCTCTGGGTCCTCCGGTTTTTCCCTCCACATTTAGGAACATGCATCTAGATCAGTGGTCGGCAACCGAAATAACAAGAATATCCATTTGTTTAGAATGCGGTAAAAAACAAAACCTCTATAATGACGGCGGGTTCCTTAATAAATCACGGTCACAAAGGAGTCCTTAAAGAGCCACACGCGGCATCGGAAGCCGCAGGTTGCAGACCCCTGGTCTAGATTATTGAGATTTTATTTTGCTGCTATAAATTTCCGCGTGACCAGGTCGCTTCTGAAAAAATCAGCTTCGAGCTCAGTGGGCTTTACCTGGTAAGATAAAAAAAAAGTTTAGTTCCGTTTGTATATATTTTTTCATTACGTGATCCTTATGGCCGTACCCCGGGGTACCAAATAATACAAAATGGGCCGAGGCAATTAAATATTTGATTTCTGGGACACGTTTTTTCCCAGGGGTGAACTTAACTCTGCGACTGGGGTACCAATCAATCCGAAATCAGTGCCACTCCGCGATGTCGAAACACAGCGAGGACGATTGCGCTGAAACCCTGAACGCTCGTACGCACCGTAGTGGTGCATCGTGTACAGCTCGTCGAGATGAGTCGATTGCCGCATCGCCGACCATCAACAGACTAAACAGGACAGCATCACGGCTCTCGTACTATGGTACTGCCATAAGGTTCATTTGTTTACCTTTACAATACTTGGCACTCCTATCGTGTTTTTTTTAATATTTTTGTTGTTGTAATGATCTGACCGGCCCCAATTGGACATCTTCAAAAAAAGAGCTTGATAGCTCATCAGATTCTTCCAGCGAAAATACATTTTCTGCTTCTGCTCCACAACAATGCATAATGAGATTGTAATCATATTCTATACTTCCTACTCACTATACTGCCATTTACAGGACAACATCTAGCCCCATGGGTCGGGAGTGGATCAGGAGTGAACTCCATGGGAGGGCGATAGACCCATTGACCCTGCCGTACCCCAGCCTGACAAAATATGAGTCCATGGGCCCAGACCAAACGTTTGAATTGTTGATAACCACCCGAGATGGCAAACCTCGAGTTGTACCAACATCTTTAAACCGCCAATAAAAGTGAATACTATTATTTTACAAGTGCGCATTCACACAATCTACACTTAATTGCCATATGCAGACGCTGCCATCCCTAAACATTTGCCACCATTCCGCCCGGCAGTGAATTCTTCCCTGGCCCACGGCCGATGTGGGACGCTGAACCCGCAACTGTCCCCATTGTGTGCGCCGCACGATGCCGGCAGCGGTGCTGATAAGAGGTGGACAGCCCTCGCCTCGAGCCCGCCGATCAATTCGCGGCGAGCGCCCGTCGCTTTGCTGCTATCTGAACTCGCAGCTCGGTGGCGCGTTGGCGGAAGCGTTTCGGATTTCGCGTGAAAAACGAAACATCCCGCGTATGGGCAGCCCTTGTATTGTAATGCTATTACAAAGCACTTACTGCTTGTAGTTAAGTGCAATGTCCGCGAAATGCTTCCTTCTCTTGCGATAGACGTTGTCCTTGAAGCCCTGTGTGCACACAAATAAAGGGTTGTAAATGCATCGCTCTAACACTTTGCACTGATGCCATTCACTTAGAAATGCCCATTCGTGTAAATGTCAATTTGAGTAAAGTGATTAAGGGGTTGAGGAAGTGATATCATCATCGCTTTACTGCCAATGAGAATTAGATCCTTTAGCCAGAAGGACCTCGGCTAAGCCCCAATACTCTTTTTAATGTGTGTCTAATTCCTCATTGAGCATTTAGTTCAAATGAGAGATGAAACCAGAGGGGCCCGGAGGTTACTCACACTTACAAGGGGATTACGTTTTTTAAAAAAAATCCAAGCTTATTGGTCAGCAGCCTGCTTGCTCTTCCGAACTCTACAACCGACCTCAATGCCCTACAGGTGAGTGTCTCAGCTCTGCATGAACCAGCAACTATCACCTACGATGTGCTGGATTGCAGGTGTGCACTGTCAAGTCGCACTTGTAGATTGTTCAAACATAGCGAGCTGTCAGGCAGGCTCGTTAAGAGATGTTTAAATGCTGACCCAAATCAGTGGAGCTTCGCACGCCTTAGCAGCGTAATTACGTAAAATGACTAATCTGCTGATCAGTGAAATCACGTGCATATTTGATTTATACATTTAACTCAGCTTGCGATCTACCAAGACACAACGGCGCTTGCGAGCGGTGGCGCAGTGGTTAGCGCCGCCGCGCTCTGAAGCCTGGCGAACGCCGGTGTCGAGCAGTATCTGAAGCAGTGAGGGCCTCCTTATGCTTCACCACAACACCTCACCTGGTGCGGTGAAGCATCATCAATCAACCCCCACGACTCACATGATGTGGGGAGGCCTTCATCCACCAGTGGAATGGCACGGGGTTGATTATTATTATTATTGATGTGATAGTCCCAAACTACAAATAATGAACTAAATGGTCCCACTACGACGTAGCTCAATTCACATCTGGTAAAAACACAGTTAATAAAAGCATTCAATCAACTGGCACAAACCAGCCACAGTCACACATCTCACAAACAACACATCATTAGCATGTTGGAAGGGTACTACCAACACCTAAAACTCATTTACTCTCATAAAACTCATAAAACCCTATGCAGCCAACGCAATCTAACATCCCCATCTGCTCAGCATATGGTCAGCCCAGCCTCACAATGCTCCAGATTAATGGAATTGTGCCACGTCTCGGTGTGCACCACATGGGCAGACAGACAGACAGGCAGGCGCACGGGCAGGCGGGCACGCGTTCAGCTGGTGGGCATCTTGATTGCAAGGGCCGAGCGCTTATTACCGGGTGATCGGCATCCAGATCAGCTCCGTACATGAGCACTTTGTTTGACGAATGATCGAGGTCAGAAATCTTCTTTGGGAACCAGGGCACGCCATCAAGATCTGGAGGACAGAATGTGCAGTCACAAACAGCAAAAGCGTCGGAAAAAAACAAGCAGGTCAAGCTAGCGCGTGGGTTTTACAGTCGAAACTACAAACTAAACACATTTTTTTATTTTAGCAGGTAAGGCCAACTGAGCTACATAGCTCTTTTTTCAGAAACAACCTGGCCACAAATGGCAGCTCAAAGAAGTGGCTTATCACGTGTGGAAATGTGTAGCAGGCAATTTCTCTAAAGGCATGTTTCTAAATGTGGAGCGAAAACCCGGAGGACCCTGATAAAAAAAAAGCCACGTGACCACGGGGAGAACACACAAACTCCAAATATAAAGATTCAGGGTCGGAATCGAACCCACGTCCCTACTGTATACCAGGCAAGGTAGTTAACATCACGCTACCATTGCGAGATGTTAACTGATCGAATATTTATCCGATTAACTACGTACATTTGTATGCATATAAAACACGCAACTGGATATTAGGCATGCATTGACACATGGATTCATCAACTAAAATATATTATTATTATGCTCATGATACACACGTAAAACTGTGCGAAGTAAAATTAATCAATGAAGTAGAATTAATTCATTAAGTTACATATAATTCTTAATTATGTTGTATTTATGCGAATGGTATGCACGATTGTGTGCTGATGTTACATTTCGGTGAGAACGAAAAAAACGGCACAAATGGGACAGAACAATTCAGACACAACACCAATGAGATAGCAGTAAGCAGTTTACAAATATTCAAACCATAAATCAAACCGCAAATTACTTGGAGAGGGCGAATTTATACTTGTCTACGATTGGATACGAGGAAACCCTGTTCAACTATCAATATTGAGTCCGCACAGTGGCAAAGCATGACCCCAATTTGTGTAAACGGTGGTTCTATCCACACGGACAATAAATTCCCTGCACAGCATGTCCAGATGAAATGTGGCTTCTGCAACATTTACATTCGTTTATCCGTTATCTCAGGAGCTCCCGGTTAGGGGTAATGAAGGGGGCCGTTTATCGCGCGCAATCAATCAGTGATAGTCGAGCGCTGTAATCCCACTAATCGCTGCTAAACCGAGCCCTTTGATATTGAATTTAATAATGACCACGTAGCGCTCCCTTAAAAACTGTGCGTGTGTGTGTTTACCTGTGGGAGTGTCAGTGTAGCGGTTTAGCGCACTCCGCTACCAACTCACTGACCCGAGTTTGATTTCCACTCGCGACCAACACCAGTGGCAATTATTTGAACCAGTCCTGAAACTCCCCTAAGTTGAATAAGCCCCAAATAAGTGCCTGGTGCGGTGTGTAAACATCATCGCTGCGGGAGACAAAGGGGGCCAAGCGTGGTGTTGGCCACCCGTGCCGTGCAAGCCTTCATTGGTGCTCGCTAACAGCACTTGCCCCAACAGTCTGTTGAAGGCTATACAGGATGGGGGGGATCTTTGTCTTTATCTTTATATATGTACACACTTGTGTATTGCAGAGCTGGCTTTAGTTGGGTAGACACCTGCTCAGGCAATTCTCAACAGAGAGTAACTGAGGATAGTGGGGATAAGTGCCAAACTATGGCTGGGACAGGTGGTAAAGTAGCACCATGGATGTCACCGCTGAGCCGTTTGCACCAGCACAAGCCTGTTCCCCCTCGAGGTAGCTGGTACACATCGCTACCGTAGCTATGGATGCAAAGAGGTTGGGCACTTACAGGATAGAACCTCGCAAACCGATTGCACTAGAAAGAGGATTCATTTGGTCCAGCCTTTAGCAGCAACGTGTGACTTAAGAACAGTAACGAGCAAAGTGCACGGGACACTTGCGAATGTACAGAGATAGATATGAAGTGAGACAGACATTCGGAGAAACGAACACACACAGAGACATGGAGAGGGGACATAACTGAAAAGAGAGACGTTACACAGAGAGACATAGAAAACAGACAGAGACAGGAGCAAGTGACGCAAATAGATGCAGAGAGACACACAGAAACATGAAGAGAAATAGACACACAGACACACAAACGTGGAGAGATGTTGACACCGAGAGACGCGCGGCGTATGAGAGACACAGAGAACACGAACACTGAGTGCGACAACAACAGACAGACGAACACACACACACACGCACGCTCTTTGCGATGCCTCTAAGCACGTGCGAGCCCTTGTTGCACACGTTGCACACGTGACGCAGGTTGCGCACGTGACGCACGTGGCACGCGTGACAGGTGGCGCACGTGACACAGGTGGCGCACGTGGCACACGTGACACACGTTGCGCACGTGACACAGGTGGCGCACGTGGCACACGTGACGCACGTTGCGCACGTGACGCACGTGGCACACGTGACACAGGTGGCGCACGTGGCACACGTGACACACGTTGCGCACGTGACGCAGGTTGCGCACGTGACACACGTTGAACACGTGGCACACGTGACACACGTTGAGCACGTGGCACACGTTGAGCACGTGGCACACGTGACACACGTTGAGCACGTGGCACACGTGACGCAGGTTGCGCACGTGGCACACGTTGAGCAAGTGGCACACCTGACACACGTTGAGCACGTGGCACACGTTGAGCACGTGGCACACGTGACACACGTTGAGCACGTGGTACACGTTGAGCACGTGGCACACGTGACGCAGGTTGCGCACGTGACACACGTTGAGCACGTGGCACACGTGACACACGTTGCACACGTGACACACGTTGAGCACGTGGCACACGTGACACACGCGGCTAGAGCCAGGCCCCCGCGTGTGTGGCTGTGACGCACCTTGAGGCCCCACGTCGCAGTGGTTCGCGGGTCCCGACATGGACACGATGTTGCACGCGTGCGAGCGCAGCAGCTGCATGAGCTCCCCCAGCTGCTCGCGGTTGCTGTCGCAGTCCACGAAGATCTCGAACTCCGAGTTGCGTCGCTTCGACTTGCGCGACTCGATGTGCATCAGGTTGACGTGTTTCTCCTGCACGGAGTGCCGACGGCCGCCGAGTGAGTCAATCGCTCAAATGCTGCCGCACCGCTGAATGCCGCGGCTTGGCTATGTGACGGTGCGAAAGAAGTTCAGCGCACGTGCATGCGTGCATATCGTATGCCAACCGGTGTCTGGGTTCTGCGACAATGTTTGATGGTGATTTTTGTTCGTTTTATTTTTTGAGGTGGGCATCGCGCGACGTTTGTGGCGGGGTCGGGATGAGGTCAATTTCTGTAGCTCTGCCCAAAGGCGACGTGGCCCTCGTGTGGACTGCCTCTGCAGCAGGGTCAAGATAGGCCGTTTGGTACTGGCCGGTTGGTCAATTCATGGAGACTGCGATTTGTGTAAATGACGTGTGCCATGGCCACTCCGCCACTGTCTCGGCCACGAGGTGGTTGGTGGCACGGCCGAGGAGTGGTCGTCCTTATTGCAGAGGTTCGTGGTTACGAACCACGCGGCCACCCTGGTTAATGCTGCGAGTGCATTAACCCCAAAAAAATACCGTCGGCTTCACGGTGGACGTTCAAGATCCCGTAATGCTGCTCTAAAAATAGGCAGCCATGCGCGCCAAGTGTCAAGAGCCAGATTTAAAAAATGACCCCCAAATTACTTTCATTGGGAGAACCGACCGAACTGCGTAGCCGTATCCCCCCCTACTGGCAGACTATACCCAGTTACAGGCCTGTGCTGCACACACCTTGTCCCGAGCTGGGAACGGCTCCCACTGGGGTCCCCCCCCCTACCCCCCTTGGCTAAACTGCTGCAGGGCACTGTAACGGTTGACATGAGATGTCGGGACATAAGGCGCTTTTGAGATGCCGAGGCATTTGGGCGCCCTGCGAGCGTGAATCCTTATCCCCATCCTCACAGCCAGCGTGAACAGGCCCTCTTGACCCTGGCTGACTTGCCGTGGTGTATAAAGCACTTGTTGAACACGCGGGATGGACAGTTTCTCTCGCGGATGTTTGTAAGTTGGGTTCTTGAATTTAAAAAAAGTATAGAATAAAAAAATATATAGAAAATAAAATACGCAGGATGGACAGTTTCCCTCATGGATATTTGTAAATTGGGTTTTTAATTAACAAAAATATATTTTTAAAAAAACGCAGGATGGACAATATCCCTCATGGATGTTTGTAAATTGGCTTCTTGAACAATTAAAAAAAACGCAGGACAGTTTCCCTCATTAATGTTTGTAAGTTGGGTTGTTGAATGAAAAAAAAGACAAAAATAAAAAATATATGTAAAATAAAAAACACAGGATGGACAATTACCCTCATGGATGTTTGTACGTTGGGTTCTTGAACCAAAAAATAAAAAAAGGACACGCGGGACGGACCGTGTTGTTTCCCGCAAACGAAACCCCGGGGCTGCTACGACTGGCCGTGGGCTGTCGCACGCAGCTGCCCGCACCTGAAAGAGTTTGAGGGCCTTGACGAGTCCGCCGATGTCGTTCTTGAGCGAGAAGACGACGGCAGCGCGGCCCCTCTCGCCGGAGCCGTTGGCCCAGCTCTCCTTGTTGTCCTCCTTCTGCCGCCCGTAGGCAGATTTGTTCAACTGTGAGCAGAGAGACAGAGAGAGACCAACGGGTTAAGGGGAACGACGTGGACTCGTGTACCGTGGCCACCTCCTCCATCGCGCTTGCCCTTCGCGCGTTGCGACATGATCAAAAGATCAGAATGAGCGACGCGCTCAAAAATCTACAGAAACGAAATCGCGTGGCCCAACCTGGAGTGTGGACAACATCTATTTAATTGGTGAGTTGTGATTGCTTGCTTGGCAGATGGCCGATTGGCAATGTCCTTTAGAGAATCGGCACAATGTTATTGATTCGTGTCGAGATTTGCATGATCATCACGTGAATTTTTCGATTTAAAGCTTTCGTGACTGCAGGGATTCATCTTCTTGGTTCTTTCGGTAAAGTCACGTAGAAGGGAAGTAATAAAATAATATAAATAAAACATAATCAAATAATGCTCACGACGTTTCGGCCACAACGCAAGCAGCCGTCCTCAGGTGAAAACCAGGTCTGTCTTCAGACGCTGTCGCCTCGACAGACCTGGTTTTCACCTGAGGACGGCTGCTTGCGTGGTGGCCGAAACGTCGTGAGAATTATTTTATTATGTTTTATTTTTATTATTTTATTACTTCCCTTCTACGTGACTTACCGAAAGAACCAAGAAGACATCACGCGAATATTAATGCACTGAAAGACGTGTGTTCATCATTGCTCTTTTAATTCGATAACCTAGAGTAGCACACTGATGAGTCCCTTCGTAGACAGTCACCTTCCCCGCACACGTGGGTCGTGTCTTGTTGTGGTGGTTTAGCGGAGGTTTACTGAGCTTTGGGCCAGATTCTGTAATTATCAAACGCGCCGGTAATACCGCAGTTAATTACCATTTCATCTGTTGGACATCTCAATCTCCAGTCCCCGGCAGTTATTTCCCCATGCCCATAATAAACATCCGGCATTCAAAATTATATTTTGTTTTGATCACAATTAGGCAATGGTACATTTAACAAATGCGTTTAATGGTAAACAACTAAACATACAGAGATAAACTGATGGGAATGGGGAATTGTGTGCAGAGTGGCTGGATCGCAATCGCTGCCAACATGTTTGGTGTCCATTAAGCACGATTATTCCGTGAGATAACGCACTCATTTGCAACCTAGATTTAGGACAGAAATTTGCTGGGTCAAAGGTCACGCAGGAAAGAGCGCATCCTCTGTCGATAAATGAAAACGTTCTTTTCATTGTATCGCGAAGCGGGTAGTGTCCACAACAGTGTCCAGTGAAAGATCTAGAAGCCTAAAAAGGGTGGCTAGAATGTATTCTACACACCACGAACACACATATTGTTTCTGCAGGAATGATATAGGCAGGTTGTGTGCATGACGACTAAGTAATTGGCATCAAAACCTCACGTGAAATTGGTGGGAATCTTGACCTGTAGACTTAAAATCCAATCTAGCGTGCGTGCGTTTAGTGAAATAATATACGTGTGTTTACATCAACGTTGTGTTTTTTTGCGGTATCGGGCACACTCTTCTCCTCGTATAGCTTCCTTGCCTAAACCCACCTTCATAGGGACGCAGTCCGTCCACTGACCCCTCAAAAAGCGCACGTCAGAGGCATCGACGTCTCTCAGCAGAAAAAGGCCGACGCGACCCATCACAAGGACCCGCACGCCGGAATGCAGCAACGCGCTCGTGTTCACGTTCGGCTTGGCCGCGTCGAAATCATAATTGACACTAATGCCCTGATGGTCATTAATAAGCCAATCCCGTGTGTCCGCGTCGTATTCTTCCAGAAACGGACGCAATCGGATTAGATTTCCGGAAATCGCAACCGCGCCAACGCATCTCGCCGTGCAATAATTGCGGGGGGCCCCACTTGCCACCATCGCTGTGCGCATTGCGCAAGGGTCCAGTAAGAGGGGGGCCCTCGCCATGAAGTGGGGGGGGGGGCGCTACATTTGTTGAGACCGTGTCATTATTTTATTACGCGTTTTTTTTTTGTGCAGCATTAAGCGATCAACCCAGATTGTGTTCCTGGCACGCGTGCCGAAGCTGCGTATGCGTTTGTACAAATCTTTATCCGATTTAACCAGTATGACATCTGGGTGGCCTTTATGTTTTACACGGTGTGTGTGTGTGTCTGTGTGTCTATGTATCATCTGCATGCAACATATGGGTTATTGAATACCCACGTCCAATCGGATGGATTGACCCTACAGCCAATTTGATGGACGTACAATATAACATTTTAGTTTGCTGTCCTTTCCCCTGGAACCTCCGATTAGCACCTTTGGCCAAAAAAGTTCAACATACATACATCTGGTGCGATCGTCCATGTACCGATGCCAAATGTTAGTTGCTGGTGCGTCCCAGTTAAACAGCGTTGTTATGAAGAGCGACGAGCAAGCCACCGAACGCGTAATATCGAGATGGACGCAGCGTCACTAATAGAGTTAAGTCTAATAAGACGATTAGACACAACGACAAAGATCCCCCGTCTAGCCGTCACCGGACTGTTGGGGCAAGTGCTGTTCGCGACCACCTATGAAGGCTGACACGGCACAGTGGCGATGTTCATACACGGCACCAAGTACTCATTTGAGGCCGAGTCGACCTAGGGAAGGCCCAGAACCGATTCAGATAATCGTCGCCGGTGTTGGTGGCCTTGAGCGGGAATCGAACTCGGGTCGTCGGGTTCGCCAGTGCAGCGCGCTCACCGCTACTACTACCCTACCGCTCCCCGCATAAAACGATTACAAATGCGCGCACGCACACGCATGCACACAGTGAGCACTTTACGTGTGACCACGTGCAAGCGTGAATAAGATCTCACGCCGGTAAAACCTCACGGTGTTTATAAAATATTGCCCGTGGGTTGTGATTTACCGCTGTCATTGTGACTGAAACAACACGCGATGGACCGCGAGCTGTTACCGTCGTTCTTCGTCGTTCAAGGTAATATCGGGCGGCTTTAGCTGTTGATTCAGGAATAAATTACTGTTGTTGAATAGATCATGAGTAGCACATGGTCTAATTAGTATTATTTCATTACGTAGTTTTAGATTTAGAACCCCTGTAGGTTATGTTATAAACACACAAGCATGGTCAAATATTCAACTTCAACACCACAATTGAATTAGATTTAGTTTGCTGTTGCCAAATTACACCAACATTTCTTCACGCAGTATTATCAAATGCTGCATATGTTTGATAATAATTTGCATGTATATCGAGCACATCTCAATTCGCTGTTATGAATTATAATTAAAAAAACAATTACAATTTAAATCACGTTGTCAATCCGCTAAAGAGAGAAGTAATTTAATTTAGTTATTTTCATTTATTATTTTATTTTTATTATTATTATTATTCTTTTTACCTACGTCACTTTACCGAAAAAAACCTAAGAGTAGAGAAGGACGAACTAAACTTTGTCGTTCATGGGTGTCGTTTGACCATACTTAACCACGCTGGTTAGTGCAGGTTAGTAAAACGGGGACCCGGACTTAGTGCTGATGTCACTCGCCACTGATGTCAACCGTGGCTGGGACTTGAACTCAGGCGACTGGGTTCATAGCGCAGTGCATGGGGCACTGGGCAAAAGCATTCAACTCTGCAAATGCAAAGATATATCTGATAATAAAAGTAAGATGGTGATTTCCCAGTGGTATTTTGGTTTTAGTATGTGCATTGTAGTGGCTCAGCAGTTGAACACAAAACCACAAAACTTTAATAAATAGTCGATCGTTCTTTTTATTAAATAGCCACGCAATTGCTGACTTCAATTTAAGTCAAATGGTGGGCATGCCAAATGTAAATAACGTCTGGCTAACTGAATAAGCGTCTGTATAATTTAATACAACGGCAGTGCGTTAACGTCTGCGTCGACATTACACGACTGCTTGACCTCGCAGTAAAGCCTGGGAGTGAGGCAACAGCGATTCCTGACAAGGATACATTGATCGCTATTCCCTTGAAGACCAAGAGGTATTAACCATGAAGCAAGCCGCGCACGTAACAGCAAACTTAACTTTGGGCCAATTCAGCGCGGCATTTTACATCACGTTCACGGCACAGCACATCCGGCACAAAGCACCACTGCGAATATGAGTGTACGTCAACAATTGTAAGCCAGCCCTACGGCGCACTGAGAACGTGAGCATCCACGCTGCTGGTGAATCGTGATACGTACCTCGTTGTGGAGTTGTTTCTCGTCAAAGTTAGTGTTGACCGAGTCAAAAGACCTTCCCCGTTTGGGCCCATCGTATTTGTTAGAGTACATCGCCCTGGTTTTGCCGCTCTGGTGATCAGCGTATATATCTGTACGTATGCACGTACGCGATCGAGCACAAAAACGGCACGCGAAGATAAGATACGTGGGGTGTTTTAACGTGAAGACTGAAGAACCAAAAATTCGCGCCTTTCGCTCGGAGCGTTGCAGGAGTGGGAGAGGCTCGTTGCGGTGGATGGATCAGGCCGTCGGTGGGTCTGCGTTGGCGCTCGGTGTCTCGCATTTATACGGCGAGACGCCGAGCTGAAGGGTTGATCCGTCCGCACGCACTGGGCTCCCCACCCACCCACCCTGACGCACCCCTCCATCTCCCCCCCCCCCCCAAACTACCACCCACACACCACCCTCCTCCTCCCCCTAAACGTGAAAAACCATCAAAAGACTCCGGGGATAAAAAAAAAAAGAGATTGACGTAGGGAATGACGCTCGAAAGGCACATTACGCACGTTTCGGAAACATGTTTTACGAAGAGTTAATGGTTACGCGTAACTTCGTTTTGGAAATTATGGAGTCATGGTCAACAGTTGGGGAATGGGATAATTCTGGCGTTTTGGATGACTGTCGCTGGGATGAATGCGTCAGGATTTATATTTGGAAGTCTTCCGATTTTAATAACGGGCCGTTTGTAAAGATCTTAGTCTTGTCGAGTCACTCTGATCGTTGTCTCATCATCAGCCAATGTCTCTCCACCGCTGGATTAAATACTTCCAGCGCAACTGCCACGTCGTCCCGTGGTGCTGCGATGCCACAACCCACCTCAGTCCCGCACACAAACTGATTCGGTCACTCCATCTCCGCGGTGGTTGTATTTTCCCAGTGGCTCAGCAACAAAGCGGATCGCTATAAGAAGGTTGACGAGTTCACGTCCAGGCTGACAAGTAGCACTGTGGGGATAGTGATCAATGTATGTAGTATGGAATAGACTTGTCCCCACCACAGGCATGTGGAATTTCCACCACTCACGCAGAGCTGTAAAAAGCAAGTAGGGCACGAGCTCAATGCTCGTTTGAGCAAGACGTCGCTTCGATTTGATGCGAAGCGAAATGCTCCCACGCTATTTTCGCATGGAATGTATGCAGAGCCCGTTCAATAGATGCCCAAAAACTTACCACCACAGAGCTTTACATAAATAATGCTTGCGTTTTGCGTCGAGTACACGGCGTTAGATATTGACAGACATATGGAGAAGGTCCGTTGCCCCGAGACATCACCTGTTATATATTTTCCCAATGTAACGTTGTTTAATTTTACCACAACCTGCCTTCCTTCAACAGTTTTACTGCCAAGGATTTAGACTTTTTTTTTTAACCAGGAGATAATCAGCTCGCAGAGACAACGGAGCGCATATCCGTCGAGCGAGAGCAGAATGGAATCGGGTGCCGGCGAGCGTGGGCAGTGTTTCGGCCGGCTGACGACGGTTGCACGAAGAGGGTGGTTGGAATACGCGGATGAGGTGGAGGGGTCTACAACAGGACAATGACCGTCGACCGATTTTGAACAACGCAGCGCGCGCAACGTTGGTGGCTGTAACGCGCTCCACTTTGAGTGCGGGGGAGGGGGGGGCTCTAAAGGTTAACCTGTGAGAATATAAGAATAGGATTTTACCCTTTCTGACAAAACAAAAGGTGTTAAGATGTTCAAACACCGAACAGATAACTTTTGCATTAACCGCACGTACTTGTGGCAAAACATGGACACAAACATACGCTGATGATTCTAGATTTGAAGCTTTCGTGACTGCAAGGATTCATACATACTCTTAGGTTTTTTCGGTAAAGTCACGTAGGTAAAAAATAAAAATAAAAATGTATAAAAGTAAAATAAAAATAAATAAAAATAATAATACTGACTTTACCGAAAAAACCTAAGAATATACGCTGTTGATAAGAATAATATCTACATTGTTTTTGAAACTAACTGTGTGGTTCTTGCCGCACCAGCGAACGCTCTGGTCGAGCAGTTATATCTACGGCACCTATTTATCCAGATTGCGCGAATATGTCAAGGATTACAAACTAAAATGATAACGAGCGAGTTCGCACGTTTGTCCATGTGGTCGCGTGGATTTCATCTCCAGGGTCCTCCGTTTTTCCCTCCACATCTAGAAAGCATGCATGAAGATTATTTAGATTATTTTGGTGCTATAAATGTCCAAACGATGGGCCACTTTGTTGAGCTATCATTTGTGGCCAGTTCGCTTCTGAAAAATAAGTTAATACCTCAGTGGGCTACGCTTCGTCGGATGGGGATGGTTTAATTTTATCTGTATGCGTTTGGGTGGTTTGTTTACCTTTCTTGTACTTTGCACTGATATCGTGTTTTTTGTACTATTTGTTGTTGTAGCGTTCTTGCCCGCCGCTACTGGACATCTGTGAAAGAAAAATACCTTTATAGTTCATCGGATTCCTCCAGTATAAATAAATGTTCTGATTCTGGATATGCGCCCTCTGATTCAAGTGCGACGTCACATTTTCCCGTGACGCCATTCAAAGAGGAGGGGGACATTTGCCGTTGCCGTTGAACGTGGTCCTATTTTGCAGGAATCGGAAAATAATGATGATATAATTAATGAGGAGAACACATAGCAGTCATCATCGATGCCTCCTGCATAACTTGACAGGACCCTCCTGGAAAACAGTCTTGAGACTCATATTCTTAGGGTTTTTCGGTAAAGTCACGTAGGTAAAAAATGTAATTTAAATTAATAAAAGTAAAATAAAATTAAAATAAAAATCACGACGTTTCGGAGGCAACACAAGCTTCCGTCTTCAGGTGGAACCGTCACAGCACGACCGCCATTCAAAGAGGAGGACGACATTGAGACTCGATGTGACTCTCCTAGATAAACGAGCGTAGTCATTATAACAACAACAAATATAAGGCGTGCGACGTGGGTGTTTCTATGAGGGGCGGAGAATATAATGGATAACATTGGTGGCAAAAACCTCCGTGTTAAGCAGAGACTATTTGCCTGCTGCCTTTGTGCGCGATTATTTTGTGTTCAGTCAATTCCCGAATGCGTGTTTTGTATGTAATTTGTACTTGTACAAATAACAAAAAAATATATATTTTTAAACCCCACGCAGCCAATTGAGGAACCCAGTTGCTGCCCTGTCACCTGTTGGGGCCACGTCACAGCTTTGCGGGTTTGGAGCGTGTCACAGGCGCTCGATGACATCGACAACGATCCTCAAACCGACCCTCAAACCCTGCCACAAAACGTCGGGCCTCACAAGGAGCGCAGTGGCACCGCTAAGTTCGTTGCGCCTCTCCGGGCGAGAACTCAAAGAGACCGCGGTACGAGTCGTCGTCCTCGTCACGATCCACAGGGCAGATAGCTCGTCGGTGTCCACTGCACATGTCGTCCTTTGTTTCCACTTTGCTCTGTCTCGTGCCAATATGCTCAAGAAGTGCTGCATCTTTATGGCACCAATCCCTGATGTCGTCGTCAAAGCCGTTCTCTCTTTCCAGTTCCTCTCATTTTTCCGAACAATAATACACTTTTAATTTGTATACTCTTTGGTTCTTTCGGTAAAGTCACGTAGGTATAAAATAAAATAGATCACGACGTTTCGGGCGTAACACAAGCGTCCGTCAACAGGTGGAAAAGTTTTCCCACGTGACTTTACCGAAAGAACCAAAGAGTATGGATTCCTGCATTCACGAAAGCTTCAAATCAAGATTGACTTTTAATGTTCTTGTTGTTGCCCATCCTACATATGTGCCCAAATAGTGCCACTTTCCTTCTCATCACTGCCTGCGTCGTCAGGTCCTCTTCTTTCTTACTTCTACGTTGGTATTATTCCAATTGAGTAACTTGCGGGTAATTTTATAAACGTCATTTTGACCGCACTGAGGCCAACCCGTGAAAATAATGCCAGGGGATCTTTAACGTCCCACTGTGAAGCAGACGGCACCAGCTCACCACCACATGGCTGGTGGTCTCCTGCTCAGCTGCAGTTCCCTGCACCTCTGAGTCGCTTTCTCCCTCTCTCTCTCCGAGAGTAAACAAATAGCGCGCGGCGACACATCACAAGTCGAAATTATCACAATTTACTGCAGTTGTTGCGCCCGCAGTGATAATCAGGGCAGCCAGCCGGATTCGAACCGTGAACCTTTGAAAACAGGTGGCAAAAGTGCCACCGGCTAGGCCAGATCGCCGATCACGTGTGAACGAGTGCGCGATGTCGGCCAATAAAGTGGGGGTTGGAGCATTTTCTTGACCCGTCAATTCCCACGTGACATTTTGGGATCGTACAGGTGGAGTGTTTGCTCGGTCACTGTCGGCGGTACCCCTACCGGAGTCAGAGACACGGGACGCAACAACACTGCGGTCGCAAGTATACCTCGGCAAGGGGTAAGGTAAAGGGTAGGGTAAAGGTAACTCGGATGAATTACCCGGCAGGGTAAAGGAAGCGCGAAGTATTACCCGGTAAATACAGTACCTAGTTTACCACTAAAAGCTCCGTGGCGCAGTCCGTGGCCTCCATTTAATAAGTAATATTAAAACAAACTTTCTTAAAAACACGCTTTTATTAAATGTACGAGTAATGGCAGAACTCAACGACTCCAGGAAGTGGCCCCAAAGCTTGCCACAACGTAAGGGGCCGTGGTTATTTACAGCCAACGGCAGTTGACCGTGGAAAATTAGACCCAAGCCGAAACATAACATATAAAAAATGATTTTATGATAGAATATAGTATTGTCATCAGTATGACATAAGTATACCAAGTTTGCAGTCGATACCACATTAGGAAGTGGGTAAAAATTTAGTTACAAGATTTGAGGATACAACAACGACAACAATGACAACAAGCGTGTAGAATTGGAATCATCGAGAGTATTCTATATGAATAAAGCGCTCTACCTAGCATTTACCGTTATAAACCTTGTTCATGTGTAGTTCCCTAGTAATTACCTTGTAATCGGGTAACTTGTATGGGGTAAGGGTAAAAGGTAGGGTAGAGTGATTGTATTGTGGTAAGGTAAAAGGTAGGGTAAAAGGTAGGCTCGTTGTTTTTAGCTTTTAACTTTGACCTTACCTTGCTGAGGCCTGGTCGCAGGTCTGCTTGACGTGGCACCGCATCGTCATAGGCTGTTGTTGGGTTTTACTTCGCACAGCTGAATTCAAATAATTACCGCAAGTCCCCCCCAACCCACCGCTACCATGCATAGTCAGGT